CCACGAGAGAAATAAATGTAGGCCATACAAATATTTCTCCCAGTCTGGAAATCGAACCTGGGACTTCGGCGTGGCAGTCCAGCATAGTAACCGTTCGGCCACGGAGGCAGTTAATTACTAGCACTTGTCAACTTGTCTCATGGTATCTGCCAGTGCGAGGTAGCCCTCAGAACTTTGTGATTTAAAGCTCTCAGTGGTATTGCAACTTTTATAGACAGGCGTGTCGCTTACCCTGAGGCGCACGACTAGTTCGTCCCATTACTTAGATATTATAAAAAAAAATGTTAATAGCTTGAAACGTCAAGTATCACAAACAGGTATTTCAGACCAAATCGGTGGCTTTCTTGAACAGCGGCCTGTTTCAAAAACATTATTTCATCAGGAAGGGCTTAAAAAACTGAGATATGCGTGCCGCGTGAAATTGTCAAATTAATTATTGACAATGCCAATGTTGTCGTGTGATTATTCTAATCAATGAAAAGCTCGGAATTGTATTAACAAAAAATTTAGCATTTCTTGAATAAATCTCACAAAGAATTTATCCAATTTACTCCAATTTATTCCAATACAAATTTAGCACGACCAGACTGGAAATACTCCTATTTACAAAAAAAAAAAAAATTAATTGTACAAATTCTTCTTTTGTGTAACTATGACACTTATTAATTCCGGATGGAGCTGGTCAGAAAAAAGCTGTAACTTCATGCAACAAGAGCGAAAAAGACGATGCGCGATACGTTTCCGTTAAGAATGCTGACGTGTGAGGCAAATGCGTCGTAGAATCATTTTTTACCTAGCTCAATTTTAATACATGCAAAATGATTGCCTAATAATGAGAAGTAATAAATGAATATTATGTCGTTTATTTACCTCAACAAATTAACAAAAACATATTAATAAATTGCACACATAGTTTAGTATCAGGCAATGATGGCGGAAGATAAAACCGATAGAGCGAATTGCTGTATACAGAACGTGTCACGGCTATGCCACACGGAGGAAAGCACCATAAACCGATGTTTAAATAGAATGTTTAGATAGAAAATCTTACTCAAAGACTTAATTTTGAATTTGAATTAATTTTGATTTTAAAACCACTTCAAATTGCATTCAAAGATTTTAAAAATAATCACCTGTCTGAACTGGGAATCGAACACGCGAAATGTGAACAAAACCTGTAATTTTACTATAGTAGTGATTGATTTCTTCTAAATAACATAGTATCTTAAATAAATGGAAGACCATGAAATGTAACATTTATAGAAAATGAAACTATTTTTCCGGATTTAAATCGCGTTGTTTCAAATAAACCGACGTTTCGGGAAGAATGTACCACCTCAGTCACCCGTGACCATGGGACCTGTAAAGGGTCAGAAACGTCGGTTTGTTTGAAAAAACAAATATACGCGATTTAAATCCGGAAAAATAGTTTCATTTCCTATGTGTAACAATCGCGAATACCTAAGAACTCGATATGTAACATTTAATTTGAAATTTTGTTCAGGAAAATGAAGAGCCTTTTCTTTGACCTTGCCATGCTCATAACAACACGACATTATCATTTCAAAGTATTAGTAATGAGTACAAACTTGAGCAATATGCAAATATGTAGCGAAATTATCAAAAGAGTGAGAATTTGTTACTACAGAATGGGACTCATTTTGAGCATTTGATAACTTAAATTTTTATTGTAAGTTGCATTTAAATGTAACCAATTATTTTAATGGAATGTTAAGTTTTATGACCTTCCTTTTATTTAAGATGCTAAGTTATTTAGAAGAAAACAATCCTTATAATTGAGGCTTTCGATCAGTATAGTAGAATTACAGGTGTTTTTTTTTCACATTTGGCGGGTTCGATTCCCGATTCAGACAGGGTATTATTTAAAAATCTTTGAATGCAGTTCAATTAATTTTTAAAATCAAAATGAAGTCTGTTTCAGGAAAATTTTCTACCTACGGTATTTAAGGTACTTTCCCTCCGTGTGGCGTAGCTACGGGACGCTCAGAGGTTTAAATGGAATAGTGTGGCCGGACGTCTTTGTGACTAGTTTTATTCAAGACATATACAATATCACAACACACACAACAACAATATTTTAAGTTGTACTAAATTGTTATTATAACACTTATTATTATAAGTAAATACTTAGTTCTCAATGTTTCATAATTTCGTTGTTGTTCTCTTTGTTACTTACATTAAATGCTGTGTACATATAATTACTAAACTTATGTAAAATTACACTGTTATCTAAGAGTATATGCACTAGCTACTGTGTATGTACCTTAACTATAAAAAAAATAGTGCATAGATTAGATACCTACATCTCTTTAAAATGTAGATACATTAAAACTACCTTACATTAATTACAACGTTTAAGATTATAATTTCTAACGAATTCCGTAATGGCAGTAAAGATAAACCATCCGATAACGACAGAAGTAAATAATGCGAATGGAAACTGACCGACGACCGGTCCACCCGTTAGCGGTCACTCATCTCTGCCCAGTGTATAGGGTGGCCAGTTCATATAATTATTTTTAACTTATGTTATCACATAAGTTAAAAATAATCATCATCTCGTCATCTCGGTCTGTCCTTGGACGGAGAACTAAGATATGTAGAGCACATAAATACCAAAATTAGAAATGGTTTCTTTAAGTGGAAAATTATTTATAAAATTAGACCATTATTTTAAAGAAGCCTTTTCTTGTCTGATGTATTAGTGCTATCGCCCTTCAATTATTGTGCTTCTGTCTACGACTCTGGGATATAAGTAGGAATCTGCCGTCCACTAACTAAAACGCAATTATCCGTTTTAAATAGAAAAAAATAGAGCACAAAATTCACTTTTATTAACCGTTAAAATTAGTTAACATTTTCGATTTATCGGAACTTACCCTAACGATGCTTAGCTGAAATATCGTTAAACAACAAACAATTTCAATATTCTAAAACTGGGTTATGGTTTTTTATGATATCTCAGAAAAATATTTTGTCATTTACATTTTACAACAAATACAGAATGCGTGCATACGTTTTTGCTATAATGTGCCTAAAACACAGTACATAACTCGGTACCTAAATTCCAGATAATCCTTAATATGAACATCAGAGCAGAACTACAATACGCCTGTACAATCCATAGAATAAACTGGAATAACAAACCAGAATACCTTTTTGAGACAGATTTTTCAAATATAAAGAATCTCTGTTCTGACGGTTATGATAAGCTAAAAATTCAACCACATAAATGAGCGCGTTATGGTGAGTGTTTCAGATGTAATGCAGCAAAATGATTTACCTACACTTTTAATGTTTAAAATAACTGTGGACACATTTAGAAATAAGTATATTACTTAATTATGAAAAGCTGTAAATTCTCACCATTGAAGGATTTCTTCGGTTAGCCCCTACTACTATAACATTCAAGATGCATCGCATATACGCACGCCCGTAGTCCCGGCTGCCCGTCCGAAATACTATATCCGTTTCTATTTTTAGATAAAATACTATATTAGATTAAAGTTACTATTTTTGCATGATCCATTAGATATTATTTATTGTTATAAATGTAATTCTTATTATATAGCAAGGCTATAATATTTTTATAGCCCTGATCTCGATAATCCTGTCTCGCATTCCATCTAAGGAAGAAGGGGGTGACTGAAAACCAGCGCTGGGACTGGAGGAGCAGCACCAACTGAGACACCTTCGTTTGACTCCTGTACTGTTAATGTTTAGTTACAGTATCTTAAGTGTAGTTGTTCTTAAGGTTTTCATTGCTTTGTTTTGTATTGTTTCATATTGGAGACAATAAAGAGAGTTTTTATTCTATTATGATCACTTTTGTGTTGCCTGCTATCAATGGATTGACGTCAACTGATATGTTTGGTATAAATACTTTTTTACATCCTGTTTAAGCATACAGAGAGAGAATTTTTTTTTCACGATTTTTTGTTTTTTTTAGTATTCAAATATCGTTTTGTAACTGTTGTCAAAGTATTATTGGTGTAATCTAAACTATCTATCTGCCTGTAACAACCTTCAACCTTTTATAAGTTCAAGTTTTGCGTTTTCCGCGCCTGAATAACCACTGCAGCATAGAGATTGTAAAGTTGGTTTTCGACTTTTGCGTATGTTCCTTGTACTTAATTGTAGTTTGCGTGAATGCTCCTGTCGCATTCTGTGAATACCCAGGCTATAATTTGGGCAGAAGCGCCTCAATGCCTTTGATTTGTTATTTAGTAAATTATAGCCTGACTAAGGAGCTCCAAACTGTTTTTCTTTAATAAAGACAATCACGCCTGGTCTTAGAGGATGCCCTAATTTGAGGCCACTTCTGTCTGCAACGCAATTCCCTCCGGACCACTACTCGGAACATCCAGACCAGATCCAATTTTGAAAAGTTATATTTCCAAATTGGTCCTACCGGGAATCGATCCCAGGACCTGCGTATCCAGCACTCATAGTGGAAACCGTTGGACCACTGAGGTCATTGTGAGTTTCGTCGACAACACGAACAACTGTTGGATGGATTCAGGTTACTTGATCGACTTGAATCCATCCTTGGTTTTGGTAGCTCCGGATAATATGCAGAGGCAATATTCCATGTAGGGTCGTACCTGCGCTTTGCATTGCAAAGTCAGTGACCTGGTGTGAAATATTCTAATATATATATATATATCAAGGAGCAAAGCCAAACGGAGTAATTATTAGAGTACTCCGAGGTTTTTTGAGGCTTGTTTGGCTTTTCTCCCTAAATGATCTTGGAACAGGACCTAATTTGCAATGTCGACGCTAAATATCCCAATACTTTTAAAGATGGTGAGCGGACTGCGCTGGAGCCAAGGAGCTCTCGCAAACGGAGTTTTCTTAGCGGTGAACGTACCCAACTTTTATCTTTGTGGGATTAAAGAAGATAAGATACTGTCGGTCCCATTCAGAGACTTGTTCCAAAGAAGTCTCGATTTTGATAGAAATTGAAGTCTGTTTTTTTCCACTTGCTGACGAGGCATGTTCGCACGGCACTGTTATCACAGGTACTATCATCTCTATAGCAACGTATGTTACCAGTTAGTAACATATTGATGTTTAGGATGAACAGGGTTGGTGGTAGCATAAAAGAGGAACGCCGGTGTTGACGCCACAACTACTTTATGCTTGGCTCAGATAAGATGCGAGTGATCCAAATGCATAGCCCGTCCAGAAGTTTCGATACAATTTGTATGTAGTTGCCAGTAGGACAGCTTAACTGACTGATAAAAAAAGAGACATTTTTAAGCAAACAATTCTATAATTTAGCCAAGCAGTTTCGTATGTTCAAAGCTGGATGCAGTGTACTGACCACGTTTGGGTATCTACGTTATTTATTTACGGTACCTTACGGTTAGTGCGAATGAACCTTTACAGCAGTGAACATAGGGTCATATTTTTCCTAATTCCGCTTTTAGGACACATTATAGCAAGGGAAACAAGGGTAGGTATCTATCATACTACTTTACAAATGATGGCTATTTTAGTATCTCTGCCTGCGTTTTGCGCTAGTGATCTGCTGGTTGAGGAACAGTGCAAAGATCATCGCGATGAACTGAAACAGACAAAGAAAACATTTATTACATTAATAATAACTATTCGCCGCCGCTGTAATTGTAAGTCAATGGCCGCCGCACCATTTTGAAGCAGCTGTCACCCACGTGCGCTGCCTTGCTTATAGCGCGTACTAGGCGCACAAGAACATGGGAAAGAGATGTGACTTTGCAAGTAATGACGTGGTAAACACGTTTGATCTCCTAGTGCTGTAATATATATATTTTTTATTAATTTAAAATGAAAATTGTTTTCACTGTGTTTTAGACATAAAATTTCACACAGACAATTTACATTTGATACAGTATTTAATTTATGTTTATTAATATACCAATTCCGTTACATGTTGTATATTACAATATTGTCTGGAAGAATTAACTATATACGCATATTTAAATAATTGTTTTCTGGCTCTTGATGGAATTAAAATATTGAAAACAAACATTTCCCTTTTTTAATATCTTTCATAAGCACTTAATACTCTCTCATACAAAAACTTACTCACCTCAATGCAAAGAATAATGATAACAATAGTGCCAACAACATTTCCGAAATTGTTTAGGTAGTCGGTGAATATCGTTGAACAGCCGTCGTAGTAAGTGGCTGCGCTGTCGCAATTTACTTCTGGACAGCAGGTCGGAGGTATGAACGGCAGGTTGTTGTAGGACTCCTTGCCTGTCGTTCCGCAGCATTTAAACTGAAAGGGAATTTAATGGAGTGGATATATTAAATAAGGGATAACGAATAACTCCAGGGTTCGGCTCAAAAGTACGTAGGTACATGCGTATGGAAGTTTTCGTTTTGTTTTTTATTCTTTTGGTGTCTTGGTGTCATATTTCTGAAAACCCCCCTTTTTTTATTAAAAATAAGTGCGCATTTGACCTCTATATAATAGGCATTATTTATCATCACTTTCCATCAGGTGCGATGGAAAGTGATGATAAATAATGCCTATTCACTATCGCCTTGAAAATGTCCAAGTTATAGCGCTCGGGGAATACGTCTGCAGGCAGGGAATTCCAATCTCTAGCCGCTCGCCATATAAAAGTGGAAGCGAAACCCCTCTAAACTTGAAGTGTGATTACAATTTTCAACTGTGAAAGGTCACAGCACATTTAAAAATAGTGTAAACTCTCGTGTTCTGCCGTATTACCGAGATTGTCACCAAGTTCAGCCGTTCAACCATTTACCACTGCTTCCTCCAGCAAACCTTTTGGTAACCGACGAGGAAAATGCGTTCTATAAACTTACTTTATTCGGTACGAGATTCTAATGGCATATTATGCTGAAAATACTTACAAGTTCTTCCAGTGCCCTGAATCCGCCATCTGGAGCTTGTCCATGTTGCTGGAATGCGGTGCGGACCCACCCATCGACTGTGGTCGATAGCCCATTTAGGTTTCGGAATATCACCACTGCCAGTGCTATGTTTGATGCTACCAATAAGAACATACATACTGCGTACTGAAAAAAACCACACATTTATGATGACGTAAATCAAATACGAAAAAGAACAGTATTCTACGATATCATATAAGAGCAGTACGTACATAGTATATCACAGTCATAGGTTATATATTAGTTATAGTTTGACGACCTGCGTGACAGAGTGACTTGCACACCAGTTTTCATGGAGTTGCCATCTATGAGGTCCCGGGTTCGATCTCCGGCCGGATTAATGCAGAAAAAACTATATTTTTATATTGTCTCGGGTACCGTCGTTGTTTCCGATTTCCATAACACAATTTACGTGCTTTAGTTATTTACTTCGGGGTCAGAGGAATACACAGTGCTTCTATTTTTTCGTTTGTTTTGTCGGTCATCGGGTTTTATTTGCCTTTGGTACAGACCAGACGCTTTCAGTCCACTTGGAAGTATATACAGTTGCTATTACATTTTTTATTTATTACAATTACTATTATCATATCATTTTTATTATTTGCAATTTTAAAGTAAATACCTGTTCGAGCAGCGCGGAAAATGATTATTCCATCGATGGCGAACATACTAACATAGCTATGTAAGATGAAGAAATGCGTTCAGATACTGAATGAATTGAAATGATTAATAGCCGGAAAAATATGCATATTTAGTTATATAAAAAAGCGCTCTTTATTTATTTTATATTTTTGTTAACGCTTATTGATATGGAGCAAAGGTTATTAAAAATAGGAAATAGTTTTACAACTCTATATAGTTCACACGGAAATCAAAACAAAACAACAATAAAGTACGTTGTTCAAAATGAAAATGATTATAGATTTTTAATTTAATAATTAATGGGCTTGAAAATTAATATTCATGTGCTTTCGGAAGTCCAATGATTGCCGAGGGATACTGAGAAAATAGAAGCACTGTATACATCGAGTACCTATATAGGTACTCGATATATAGGTTCAGGTAGTATATATGGGTTCTCTATTTATGGTTATATAACCAGAAATAGAGACGAAATAAGGGCCATTCATCCCTGGCGACTCATCAGGCAAATGAGCCTTATATCACTTTTAAATATAAACTCTCGTTTGCACTGAAATCGCAAATTAGAAAGCTGAATTAGTACAGCGCTAACAACTGACCTCTGTGTACGTCTCCGTATATTCCAAAAATATTGCGTGTTTATTGTAATAAAGACCTCTAACAATGGGCTGTTCCATTCGGTGTTGTGGGAAAAACAGCAAAACATCTAATTATAAAACAAATGGAATCACATTTCATCCGTAATTAAATATTACAAATGTAATTTTTCAATTTTCGTCCATTACAGCAAAGCTCAATTTAAACTGGTCCATTTGAAATGAAACAATTGACTACACCCGTCAATAGTTTCGAATTCGTGCTGGCCAATCGGAGCGCAGTTGTCACAGTAATGATATTGGGCCATTATTGGGCGAATAGTTTTCAAACAAAGTAAATGACATTTTGTCTCTATTTCTGGTTATGTACTCGATGTCTGTGTTGTCTAATATTTATTTATTTCGCAACCTTACGTATGTTTGAAGTTTGGTTGAACCTTTTCTCAATCGAGAGATTTTAACGATAATATAATTAAGATTACCATAATAAGGAGACATCCATTCTCCCTGATAGCTCCGCAACATCCAAAGAAGGAAATCAAAAAGACGATGCAGCCAACCACAATTACCAGGATGGGGATTGTGGTGATCACCGGTATAATTTCCGCAACCCTATCCAGTGACACCAGCACCGCTATGCCCATACCTATGAGTGCTGCGCCGGCCAACTGTGAAGAAATAACATCATCATGAACCCATTTATACGCCCCACTCGCATGAGTCTTCTCTCAGGCGAGGGTTTGGCTATAGTTGGGGACTTCATAAGTTTTTCGAGGGTTGTGAACGTTTCTCAAAGAACTTTGAGAAACTCAAAGATCAGAGCGGATTCGAACCCACAGGTAGTCAAATTAGAAGATAGAAATTTAAATTAGATTATAGAAGTCACTCGTGTCATATCGTGTAATAGTTTCGTAATATAGGTCGGCCATGACGAAAAAGGATTCCGTTAAGTCAGACTTCGTGAGAGGGAAATGATTCTCTAATAATGCTAAGGACTTTGTTACCTTTGTATAAGCTTCCGAAGCTTTCGGAACAATTCGACCGAACCGATTCGACTTCTCGGCATATCTTTAGAGGGGAATAGAACAAAAGCGTAGACTCCATTCGATTAGGCACGTATCGTTCACGTAGTATCCATTAGTGTGTGAACAGACGTACTTATGCTTATTAGACACTTATTTGTAACTAGTTTTTGTGTATTAAACTGTACATAATCTATTTGTTCCGTGCTGTATTCTTTTGTGTGCAGCGATTCGCGCCATAACTATTCATGTTGCAGCACTCCAAAATGGCGGCTATTCAATTTCGCTTTGTCATTTTTAATCAGCCTTTGCATTTGCATCATTTTAAAATATTTAGTAAACTATAATTGTATAACTACACTGCCAGCTCGCTTCTATTTAATTAATTAGTTATATTGTTTTAAAATTGCACAGCGGCTAGCTTAATATATAATGTAGTTCTTTATTTTGTTCAATTCATCACTCCGTATCTGGTTTTCGTTACCACCACAATCAAACTAGTTTAGGTACTTCTCTGCAGTGATTGACGGCGGTACGTGAAATTTGTAACGATAGGTATGATTAATGCGTTGGATTTATTCCCAGGGTCCACGTTCCAGACCACGAATCCCCTAAGACTGGTGCTGCAGCCCACTATCTAAGTGTTGCGGGTTTTCCACGTATTCCTACGGACTCCGGGAGACGGGACTTCGGATTCAACGCTGGTGTCACTATCGACCCCCCCTCGCTATTGCGTGAAGACTCGGGGAAGTGCCTGTTCGTGCCAATTGGGAAGTGTCTGAACGTTTTAGTGTAGGCGTTACGAAACCACGAATTAAATAAATGTGTGTCGAGCATAACTATCTGTTTTATTTATTTAACCGCCTACCGGTAGGTTAGCCACTCTTCAAGCGCGACACGTGGTCTCACTGTTCTGCCACTTTCTAAACTGTTCAGATGATTTTTTTTACAGTGGCGCCACTTTATAGTTGGCTATTACACATAAAATAAAAAATAGAGGGCATTATAGAAAAAAAAAGAGATAGTCCACTATCCGAATTTAGGCAACTATCCGTTATATAGTGCTTTTCCACTAAGAGTACACATACGAATTTCACATGCGTATACGGATTTCGCTTCCCACAGCAGCAGCTGCTACGAATATCGTGTATAACTAAATAGGCCTTACCAGTGTTAGACGGACGGGAGCCTATTCCAGGTTGAAATTTGATAATTATGACGGTGATCTATATATTTCAAGTATCAGTGCGGCCAGTATTTTTACAACTGAAGTAGGGATAACAGTATTCACATATTCTGATGGATCCACTTGTGATAAGCAACCATGAGTATTTTAAAATCCTACTTATAATTAATAGATTAAGTTTGTTTCCTACAACTAAAAGATAATGGAAGAGCGGGCCTTCCTGTCACAGGTGGATGACTCCTACTAGGAAGTCCCAACCTTATTTTAAGACAACTAAGAAAAAAGAAATAAACTTTTTCATTTTCATTTTCATTTTTCATTACTAGACTCACTAGTGGAACCAAGTAGTGGGGCCAATAGTCCTAAACGGAAATGTGGGGTGCACCCCTCTGGGTTACGTCACCTAAGCTTTTCAACCTGTTTATTAATTACCTAATCCTCTTCTCGTCAATCCTCATCTCCTGATCATGTAGTGTTGCCGACTTCTGCGATTAGAGCAATTGGTAAATTGCTCATTATATGTTGGACGAAACTCTATTACCTACACGAAAAATCCTAAGCTCATAGTTATTGTCAGTGTTTCTGTACGGTAGTGAAGTCGTGTTTCTAGATTTAAATTCCTGGGACATTGACCGATGATTTGTTAACTGCCTCCATGGCCGAACGGTTACCTTGCCGGACTGCCACGCAAAGGTCCCAGGTTCGATTCCCGGGCCGGGAGAAATATTTATATATATAGCCTACATATATTTCTCTCGTGAGTTTGGTTGTAATTAGTGGTTGTCTATGTGTGTGTCCATGGTATCCGCGAGAAAGGGTTTCCCTAGTGCGGGGCTATAAAAAAAACTAGTCCGATTATGTTGACATGGAGGGGAGAAAAGGGTCCTGTTTGTAAGTTGTAATATGCTCGCCCGCGAGTTTGCTCGTTATACCAAAAGGTTAAGATTGCATTATTTATAACATATTGCTAAAAGTTTTACTTCAGCAGAATTTTTTTTTACAATATCAAGTCACGGGACGTACAAGTCGTATGCCTGGTGGTAAAGTACACGCTTGCCCATAACATAGATGAATACATTGAGGGTACAATACAACAGCGCTTTCAAAACTCAAATAGGACTGCCACTGTAGCCGCTCACGCGATACATGCAGCAGTGGACGCATGACGCCACAGAGCGTTGCGGGATTCATGCGTCTCTGGAAGCATAACACACCTAGAGGTGCCTGTGATGATTTTATACCGATTTATCGGATATCGAAGTTATAACAGGTAAGAAAAGATAAGATATTTATTTATTCACTCTCACATAAGGAAGATTGTACATTATAATTATATGTTATACAAGACTTAATAATGTCTAAAGTTAGCTACCTTAAGCGAGAGTCTGGAGTTCGTACTAGGTAACTAGACCTGTGTTACAAATCTCCAGGCTCCCACCCCGTTACAATTTATTTATTTAGATTTCAAAAAGGTAAGTATATAATCTAAAAGGAAAGATATGAAGATGTTTCGTGAGTGAAATTTGTGTGTGTGTGTGTGTGTGTGTGTGTGTGTTTTTGTCTGTGTGTGTGTGAGTGTGTGTGTATGTAAGCGTGTGTGCGAGTGAATAATATAATATTATAATATTTAAAATAATTACATTTATTTAGTGACTTTTATCAAATTTTCACTAGTGTCATAGTCCATTGTTAAAAGCCATTTCATCACAGATTATAAACGTAGATTTTAGAATACAAGTTGTACAAGTGAAAAAGAAAAGGTAAAAGAACTAATATTAATTGCTATTTCGGTAACTACTCTAGCAAACCATAAAGTTTTTAATGCCTGGGTCTGTCATTTAAAAAAAATAAACAACTTCAAAAATACGTCACGACAATCGTGTAGACATGGGGAATAGCGTTACATTTCTATCGCCGTGACTGTCGTTCCGGTTCCAAAAAAGTCACAGTGATAAATCATCGTGATTTTGTCACGACTGTTACTTCCGTGACCTTGTCACGCCTATAACTTACATCACGATATACGGTTTTAGCCAGCGGCTTCTTTCTAATACTTATAGCCGTTTTTTATAGAATGATTTAAGTGTGTTTTTACTCCCTTTGTAAAAAGTTTCAATTCCATTCAAAAAGTTGATTTTGTATTTAATGTAATTTTGTTTGTTACTTATTTAATGCGAATCTTTGGATTGTTAAAAATAGCAATAAAGTGTAATGTAATTATATTTCTAGTAGAATACACAAAGTAGATTATACATAAATATAAAATACCAACTCTTCCTATAATAAAACAAATATACAAAAATATTTTACTTTGTTCATAAATAGGTTTATAATAACTGCTGCAGATTTTTTTCATCCGCCTTTTCTAGTAGTAATAAGCATCTACGACACTAGTGAGTGAGCAAAGAAAGTCATCCCATTTCATTCGCTCCCATCGCCGAAATGGCCCGATTTGAAGAGAACTACAACGAGTGGCGCGCTCAGTCACCACGGAACGGAGATCGCGCATTGTATCAAATATGTATGTCGTGATGTGAGTGACGGGGATAGCTATTGGAACGGAGGAACACCTATATGACTTTGGAACGTCGTTCCTTCGGAACGAGTGACGGTGATACTGTTTGACGGCGGATCATCGTGATTTTTTCATCGTGACGTTATTTATCACCCACCTCTACAATCGTGTGATTGTTATTGTTTGGGCTGGTGATTTAGGTGTTTATTTAGTGAAAACATACCGTAAGTAGCGTTTTTTTATGAATTTGATTAATTAATTGATAACATAATTACGTCGTAGAATAAGACATAGTCTAACATAAATATTTCTAAAAGGAAACCAGCTTCGAAACTTGATGCTACTACATCAGGCCATTGGCGGTCCTGTTCATGATTACATTATATAAATATTGATTTCATTTCCTGCAAAATAATATTATATTACTAATTTTAAATCAAATGTACACTAGAATAACACATTACGTTTTCATTACATGCAGGATTCAGTAATATTTTCGAGTTTCGTAATTTTGTATGAAAAAAGCTGGCGGGTACGGCCGCCCAGGGACCGCCATCTTTGAAAATAAGGTTGGTTACAAACCCATTTGTATTTGATAATTTTTATATTTTTTGTGAAATGGGTGATTAATTTTGTGTGTAAAATAAAAGTTCTTCGTATATAACAGCATGTAACTAAACCTACACTAGAATGCTAGGTAATGTGAACTTTACGTAAAAAAATTATTTGTTTTAGTGGTGGGTGTTCTTTGTAGTGAAACTCTCGATCAGGAATAAATCACACTTTATTTTCCATTCTGTCTTACTTAACTATAATTTCCACGCTCCTAAGCGTTGATTCACACCGCGGAGACGCTACGCGACGCGGCGCGGCGCTGTATTCGAGCGAGTAATGCAACATAAATTTTATCCCCAACAAAATAAGGCAACATTTCATTAAACAAAC